CACATCCCTCAGGGCCCGAGGAAAACAACCCGCGATACCCGTTAGAGATGTCTTGGCGAGACGAGACCTTGACTATTTGAATTTAATTTATGTGTTTTTAAAACGGATAGATTTGAGGATTTAGAAGTTAGTGTCATCTTGTGTTCTCCCAAGTTGTTAGCTACCCATCGGTGTACCCCCATGTTTGTCTTTTTCATCAGAGTGTCGCCTAGTTCGAGATCAAGAGCACATTGCTCTCCAAACCTTGTGTTCACAATCCCTACCCTGCCATCCATTTGTTACAATTTGTTACCCCTAACCTCGAGATAGCCGCGAGTAATCGGCCCCCGCTTTACTAACGTTAGTTTTAAGTAATTTTGTTATCCAAACAATGAATATCGGCTCCGCAAAGCTACAGCAAATGAGCCTGGAAAAATAAACGAATTATTAAAAAAAAAAACATGGCAGTGCATGATACTTTTAAAACATGTGTCCGTTAACATAATAACTTCATAAGCTTTTTGAGATCTAGCCCATTCAGTTTGGCTATAAACTGGTGCTTTCATATTTTTTTCTGTATAGATGACACCTACAACTACAACTTTGCTGAAGAAAGTATGTAACTATCTATTACTTTTGATTTTATGCAACCAATGCCCACTGCTCGAAAGGGTTAACATGAGAAACATTGTGAGAACCTTAAGGAAGATCTGAGAATTTCATGGAACTTTCAAGAATTTGAAGGAAGTTCCGAAAACATCAACGTTCAGAACGTTCAGAACTACATGGAAGTTTTATGATCTTTAGGGTTGTGGTAACTCTCCATCGTAATCCACATGCGTCTGTTCACAGCAAGAGTCGTCGAATCAATCACGTTTGTTGATTTTTTTTTCCTTTGTTCGGGACCTAACACTACTGCGACCAGTAAATTGATCTATTGTAGTATATCCCGTGTCCTTAGTTTAGTGCATGTCGTATTACTCCATCACTATTGAGAAATGATGAAGTATTCGATTTTTTTACAGTTGCCCCTCTTGCATTTATCGCAAGGATCCGACTCTAATTGAAAGGTCCCGCTATTTATACCCTTCGGAGTGTTGAAACACCCTCCAAAGGCGCGCCCCTTTGTCAGTCAAAATTGGATTCCTTAGCAACAAAATTAAGGTATGACACCGATAATGACCATGCATCAGAACCCTAGTCTTAACCACTTCAAACTAGGGAACAACGAATAGAAGATTAGGAATCACATAGATGAAGACAACTAACTCATTTTTTTCCTTGTTTCAAGATCATCCTTGGTAGACAAAGCCGAGTCTTGTCACTATCAAACAAGGCATAAAAAGTAACAAGGACTAAGATGTGTTCCTTGGATTACTAAAAAATCCTGTTCCCCTAGTTTGAAGTAGTCAGGACTAGGAATCGGTGGTAGATCTTACATCCCGTAACGTACCACGAAAAGGTGATCTACCCACGTTACGGGGCACAGTTAATTCAGTTCTCAAGCATATAGCCAAATCCATAATCTTATACTGGTAGATGTCACTTACACGAATCAACTCCATATCTACGAGCTTCCCCTCTTTTCCATTCGCGTCACGAAGCAAGAAATGAACTCACACTAACACCAATACACATTCTGCCTCTGTTTCAGGGTGGGTCCCATCTTGGGTGGGTTCCACTCAACGAGTTAATATAGATGTATGGTTAAGTATTAGCCCGGAGGCTGAAAAAAGCCCAAGTTTCTTTCATCATGCTATATTTTATTTTCACACGTTCATTTAGTTATAATAAGTTTTAATTACGGCACCTCATCTTATCTCCCACAAGGGTAGGTGCCGGTAGCTTCAGGACAGTTCCATAGACTTCAGGAAAGCTTCAAAAACTTCAGAGCAGTTTCTTTAACTTCAGGAAAATTGCAGGAACTGCAGGAGCATCAGTTGCAAAAACTTCAGTGGAGTTTAAAGATATTAAGGTAAGTTACGTGAGTTCAGAGAATTCAAGGCAGATTCATGATTATCAGGAGCAAATCCTGGGTGATTGAGTGATGCTTCGAGAACTTTTGGTGAACTTTGAGTGCGTTAGGGCAGTTTAATTAAATTCTGGAAAAATAGCTAGAACTTTCAAGAAGTACCAAAAAAATAATCACAGTCTAGAGAACATCAGGAAGTTTAGAGAACAAGAAAGTTGTTGGAAACTTTTCAGATACATAAATATCACTGCAGCAATCGTCGTGAATTTTAGAGGTCTTTAGGGCAGTTATATAAATTTTAGAGTAATTTCAGGCACATCATCAGAAAAGTAACGAGAACTCCAGAAATAAGCGGACTTCAGGACGGTCAACTAAAATTGTAGGAACTTTGAAGAAGGAAATACCGAGGATTTTGAAGAAGTTTCATGAGCAGACTGCGGGACAGTAGGAAAACTTCTGTAAAATTTCGGGCACTTCAGAGAAACTTCGTGAACTTTAAGGCTTCAGGAAAACTGCAGGAACTTTTAAGAAGTTTTTCATACTTCAGGGATATCCAGAGAGCTTCAAGAAAACTTCGGAGAAGTTCAAAGAACTTGAGGAAAAATGGAAAAATTTAAAGAAGTTCCAAGAAACTCTGGGACGATAGGTCTTGAGATTATCAGGGGACCTCAGAGATCTTAACACTTTCACAGTAACTTCTTGGACTCCAGACTTTCAGGCAAGTTTAAAGATCTGCGAACGTTATTTTTGATAAATTCAGGACAGCACCATGAACGTCAGCAAAATTTTGAGAAACTTTAAGAAGTTCCAGGAATTTCAGAGAACTTCTGAATATTTTAGAAAGCTTTAGACATATTTTGGGAGTTTTCCAGAAGTTCAGAGATTTTCAGGAAAGTTTAGGACATTTTTATTTATTTCGTGAGAACTGTAAGAACTCCAGAACGTCTTCGAGAACCTCAGGGCAGTTCAATTAACATTAAGAAAATTACAGGAACTTTGCAGATGTTCAGGAAACATCCGAAAATTTCAGCAAAGTTCCAAAATCTTCAAGAAAGATTGAAGAACTTCAGAGAAGTTTTAAAATTGTTAAGCAGTTTCATTATTTTCAGGGTTGTTACAAGTATGTCGAGGAAGATCAGAGATCTTCAGAGTAGTTTCATTAATTTACTGCAGGATCTTTCGATAAGTCAGAAGAGTTATGGAATATTCCGATAATTTCATGACGGTTTTAATCTGGAAAGTTCCATGAATATCAGGAAAATTGTTTAAATACTAGAGAAGTTCCGAACTTGAAAAATTAGGAACGGTGAGACAAAAATTCGAGAACTTTTTTTTAAAACTTAGGAAACATAATGGAAGTTCTATGAGCTTCATGGAAGTATCAAAACATCAGAACAATTGCGGGAGCATCAGAATAGATTAAAGAACTTCAGGGCAGTTCAATTTTCTTTTTTTTTTTAATAACTTCTGATTTTAATAACTTCTGAAATTCAGTTCTAGAGAACGTTATTGAAGTTCTGAGATCTTTGAGGCAGTTCCAATTACTTCAGATAAACTCCGAAAATTTTAGAAAAGGCTTGATGGACCCTCACTCGCGAGTTTGAAATGAGCCGAGCGTAGCATTTTTCTGAAGAGTAGAATGCCTTCTGCCAAATCATTCCACTGAGTTTCAGAGCTTGTGAGCGAAGGGGGATTAAATGAGAGTGAGGTTAGCTGCCATTCATGTTCACGTTTTCAATCACACGCTCTTACTCTCTCTCTCTCTGAGTGAACTCTGAGTTTCTTGCATCGAACAAAAAAGTCATCCGGAGTCTCGAAAAGAGCACCTCACGTCAAAATGATCGTCTCGCTGAAGTTCACTCTCCCTTCTCTCGAGGAGTTTTCGTTTACTTATTCCATATTCCTGCCGCCACTCACTCAAGGTTAGCGCTGGCTAAACTCACAGGACAAGACAGTTTTAAAACCTCCAGTAAGTTTGAGGAGTTTCAGCAAGCCTGCAAGGTTTTCGGAAAATTTTAAAGAATTAGTAATTTTCTTTCGGTTTTCACTTTTTAAGAAAAAGTGTAACAGTTTTATCATCGTCAATGTTTCGATCCAGGGGTTGGGACCTTCATTAGAGCTAATGCTAGTTTCATATCGTTAACTTTTTGTACATGAACGAAAGACGGTACAACTTTATATCCCCTGAAAAAGGTCAAGTCGAATTTCTTAGCGTTTTGATCCACCGCTAAACGGAACAGCCAATATCCGAAAAAATAAGATTTTTTTTTTAATTTTATGGCGGGGCCTGCATTAGCTCAGTCGGTAACGGCGTAGCTACAAAGCAAAACCTGGTGACTGTTTTCGATTCGTGGTCCAGTCTAGGAATTTTTCAGGTTTTAAAGTTTCCCGACTTTCCTTAGAGAGAAGATTGTACTTGCCACACAATTATACTAAAAATGCTAAAATGGTAACAAGCATCGAAAGCTTTCAATTAATAACTGTGGAACTACATCTAGACCACTACGTTGAGTAATTATGACAAAATGTGACCATGGGAGGTTGCGGTTAATTGTGGGTGACATAATTAATGGCCCTGAAGGCACCCTATTCACTTTCAACGTTGCTGAAACCAGGACCTCTTATGAGATATTTTCTTGACATCAAATGCGTTACAACCTTTCGTTTTCGATTACCGTGTTCCTCAAGTTTCCGAATTTCTCACCAAAAGATATTTTTACGGCTTTTTGCTTTGATTGAATCGTGAATATTTAAAATGAACTCACGACAATCCCGGCTACATTGTCGAGGTTATAAGTGAAAGCCTATCATAAACCATCTAAAGAAAGTCGGTGAATGTCGGTAAACATAAATATTCAGATGGTGCCAATTTCTGACTTCCTTGTACATAGGTTTTTCAAACCAATTCACAATCATTCTCGTGGCATTCCTGTGTCCTATATTTGCAAACGGAATTTCCACATAGGACTTATCACATTCCAATTCATCCAAAAGTGGCATTCGACAAAACAGCACATAATGACACAAATCAAGACTAATGATTACTCACACTTGATTTTCAGCTGAATCTCGGGGCTCAGGGTCTCGCCTTCGGTGTTGAGCGCCCCGCACCTGTACAACCCACTCGAGCTCCTGCTCACCTTCTGTATCACCAGACTCTGGCCTGTGCGTACGATTTTCATCGTCGATGAGTTCTGAGGTAGTTGTACTCCCTGAGTGAAATGGAAGAAGAATGGGAAACGGAATGAGCACCTCCTCTCGCTACTGTGCTGAGCTGAGCTGAGCTGAACTGATGGTGATAATGATGATGATGATGATGATGGTGTTGCTATTTTTTTTAGGATGTGGGTGAGATCCAAGCAAAACTGCAGCCAGGATACGACGGCGTTCGAGTGGGAAACGATACGATGCTCTTTATCGAGATGGGTGACAATGAGCTAGACAGAAGGTGGGGTGTATTTTGGTGGGGTGGTGTGGTTTTTGCTACAAGTTATAATAATTTGTTTTAATTGGCATGTTTTGGGTTTTGTATGTTTGCCGAATGCTGTGGGTTGTAAAGTTTTCAGTTCATAGAATTTAATGAGCAAATTATGTACTATACGTGACAAAACGATGGTAATTATGGGTTTATTTGAAGAGAATTCGTGCTGGGATGCTGCGTTTTCCGGATAGGGAACTGTGGTGGCATCGGTTTGTAACTGTAGCACGGTGTAATGAAGCAGCAAGACGAGGAAGAGAAGGAACGTGCTACGAGCGAATAATGTTGAGATAATTGAATTAGTGCTAAACCACCAGAAAGCTAACACTGATGATGATGATGATGATGATGATGATGATGATGATGATGTTGATAATCCCCGTGAGCCATCATGTGCTCATGACAGCGAATCATATCATTACAGTAATTGCTCAATTCACACCCCGCCTGTTGAGGATAAATACTCACATTGTGTAACCAAGCAAGCCGCCGCCACGCTGGATTCGATCGTATCTTGCATTCAAAGTAGATGTCATCGCCCTCTTTGATGTCATCGATGGATAGAGTGGAGCCTAGTTCGAGGGCTACTTGGGGAGGATCTGAAAACAAGGAAATTTGACATTCATCCACTTCATTCGCTTCGAAGCCTTCCAATTTACTCACAATGTACACTAATATTCTGGAACTGCTCCAGATAGAGACCGGAAACGTTGGGATTCTTTGCTCGGCATCCGAGCAGCCGGCCGTCGTCTTCGACCGTGGGAGTCAGGATCAGCACCGAGATGGTCATGTTTCGGAGGACTTGCTGCGTGTGCCGTCTGAGCAGTTTGCTGCCCTTCGTCCACGTGATGTTGGCATCCGGGCGGGAACCGGTCGATAGACAAACGATCTTATATTCCTTCTGCGAGGCTAGAGACAGTGTCGAGTTGAGGATTTTCACCGAGAGGGGTTTTACTGGTTGGGTGGATTTAGCCGGATTGATGTATCGGCACGTGAATTTAGCAGCCGGGTGGATTTTGCAGATGGAAGAAACGAATGAAAAGCATCAATTATCTAAATTGGTTGTCGTTATCTAGATGACAGATGGAGTTTCGGATTGGCTGTCGTGCTCGGTTTAACGTAGGCGTGAGATGCTATAGAATTGGTTGGATTGACGGCATTCGAATTGCAAGGTTTGATCGGTAAAACAAGTAATGCTAATTTTATATTTATTTGTGGAATATTATATCAGTATGTTATTTACATTAACTTGGCTTCTTACGACCTCTATGTGTAAAACACGTTTTTTATTTGTTTTATTAGCCTAGCATAACCCAATCTGCGCATTATGGTGTGTGTGGTATGAATTCAGAATGAAGAATAAATAATAATATGAGATTGATTACAATATTTTAGGTACATCTTTCTCCAATAGTCATTAATAAAAAGGATCCAAGACAGCGGTTCTCAACCTTTTGCAGATTGCGACCCACTTTGAGAAATTTTAGGAGATCATGACCCACTAATAGAATTTTCGGACGTTTGTCTGGATGCTTAAGTGTGAGTGCAAGAATTGGGTATATTATAAGCAGGGCTGTAGAGGTGACTCTAATGGACCGACTCCGACTCCTCTGATTTGAAAATAACTAACTTCAAATCTGACTCCGATTAAAACTAAATATAGCAAATATCAAATTGATTATGTAATTATTGTTTTAGTACATTTAGTTCAATAATTGTAAAAATCACAGAAGGATCAGATTTTCAGCAATCTTACAGATTGGATAGTTTTGAACAAGTTTCAAAAATTAAAAAATCTATACCGAAGCGATTTGGTATAATGTATCATTTTTAAAAATTTGTATTCTTAAAAACTTAATATCACCTACACACTTAATTCAGATCACCGAGGTCAGTAGAGTTTTACCGGGTTTTTAAACAGCAGATCAAGTCGGTAAAATTTTCAAATAACCGTTAAACGTAATAAATTAATAAAATTGACAATCTAAATGTGGTAAACTTATCAAAGTCTCCCAAGTAACAATTTCGGTTTCATAAGGATTCTGTAGACCATGATTTAGACTTGTAGCATGCTTTAAAACCTCCATTAAACTTGCAAAGTTACTTGGGCTGTACATCTTCGGAATACATATACTAATTATTGGATTTTTAAATATTTTCAAACTAAACATATTGTATTTTCGTGTTTCGTGTGAAAACAAAAAGTCTACTGAACATTTTGGCGTCGTTAAAACAAACAAAAAAGGGGGACGTTTTGAGATACTTGCATTTAAAACTTTCAAGTGAAAAAAAAACGCAGAGTAGGCAACACTGTAAACAAGTTTGATTGTACGTTTAAAATGCTTCAAAAAGGGGGCACTCAATGTCGTTTGAATTCGTGTTTATATCAGAGGTATGTAATAATTAAAATTGATGTTTATTAAATCGCAAAAAGGGAGGGCAGTCCTCAGAGCCGGGGGTTGGCCGATTGGCAAACAACTTTGGATTGAGTAGACCCACTAGCATTGTGAATCCTGCTCAATTTATGGTTGGTTTCATGGACCGTTTACCTTCAAAATCTGTCAATTTCCCTCAGGCAAACTGACACCAGTTTTTCACATGTTCCTGGAGAACGTTTTGGCGAACTAAAATCTGCACAGTAAGGAAAAAGTACCCGAAATTGACATTACTTTCACTCGCCATGTGGTTTCTGTAAAATTAAGTGTGGGCTAGGTAAAGTTAAGTCAGTGAGTAATCCTGATCAATAATGCATTGAGCGAAAATTACCTAACGATCAACCGAATACAATAATGGAGCATGAACGAAGGCAATGGAACACTCAAAAAAAAAAAAAAAAAGACAGCATCGATAGCAGCGCAGGTTGCTATGACTTTCATACAAAAATAAGTTAGGGTTGAGTACTTTTATCGGAAAATTTAATTCTTTTCTACTTTAATTCGCAGCGTGTTTTAAATGCAATACACTGAAAAAAACATTTCGATATACTCTTCGTTAGTTATTTTATGCAACACAATTTACAAAAATTTAACCTTACAAATACGAAAAGTACTATATCAATCAATAATGAAAAATATTAAGTTTTGAGCATACCAATGATTCATAAAAAATTAACTTCAATTTGAGTTCATCTATTTTTACTGAATAGATGAGTAAATTTGAACTAACGCCACTTTTCTGATAGAACCCAACATTGAAGATTGCAACGATTTTTGCTTGAAATTATTAATTATTTTGTTGGACATTTTTTTCTAAAGTTTCAACATTCGAAATTCTATGCACCTCGGTAGTATTGGACCAGGGAGGCAACTTCAAAATCATCTTCAGAACTTTGCTCTGAATACTTTGAAACGCACCAACTAGACCATATTGTCACAGCATGAAGCTTGGCTGGTCCAAAAACTTGTTTAAATATTAAAAGCGACCATTTCAATTCAAGGTATGAAGTGATTTAAAATCGATTACTGAAAACAGTATGCTGTGAAAATTTTACGTCTTGTAAAGAGTTGTTTATTTTGTCAAGATAAACAAGTTTTCCGGAGACATCAAGTCTCCAAAATGTCGGAGAAAGAAGTTAGATTGTTCCGCCATCTTTGCGGAAGTGTTTTAAACTATTTTTTATGTAAATAAATGGTTCTTATTATGATGAGAAACTTTGCTGAAAACACCAAGTCGCGGAAGTGCTTCGTTTTGGAGTTATTAATTTTGCTACGCTAGATTGCATTCCTGGCCCAGTGTGCAATGAAGCCACAGACAAAAAGACATAACACTGGCGATTTGTTCATCTAACACGTGTTTAACGGTCAATTTAAATGTTTTTAGTTTTTTGTTGTTGCGTCCATTATTTGAACTTTTGTGGTACCCCTATTTGATATTTGTATCATGCAAACCGACCACTATTTAACGATTGGACGGCTAATTGCCTGGACACGTCTTTTCCCAGTCCAGTATTATATGGTTTATAAAACAAACTACCTTTCTAAGATTTGCAGACCAAATTTCACAAGGTTGTAAGCTAATAATTCCATGAAATTTAGATCTACGCTTGTGTAATGCACCACAACTGCAGAGCAGATGTTCCGAGGCTTCACGTTCCAAATTACAGAAACGACAGTTATCACTCTGAACCCGATCAATGTTCTTCATGTGATATCTACTAGGACCAGTGTTGGCAAAATCAGAAATCATTTGATATTTTCCCGCTTTCATGCCCTCGCAATATCACGCGTGGTATTGGAACAAAATATCATGCTTGATATTGATTTTACAAGCTCCTTTTATATTGCGAGACTATTCACAACGTGCAAAAAAAATTAACGGTGCCGGTGGTGTAGTGGTAAGCGTGATTACCTCTCACCCCAGCAGGCCTGGGTTCAATCCCAGTCAGCGCCGCCGGGATGTTCTGAAGCATAACATCTCTGATTACGCCTTCCTTCGGATGGGAAGTAAAGCCGTTGGTCCCCGGTTCATGAGTTGATGGGTCGATAGGTAGGGTCCAGGTGTGGGAGCTGCCTTCCTGGAACGTCGGTAGCATTGGTGCTCAGCACGGAAAACAAAATCGACAGAAAAAACAAACCAAAGAAAAAAAAAAAACGTGCAAAAATCAAGCTGAGAGTTGACTCGACACAAAAATGATTCCGTTGCGCCTCGTTTTCTTAGAAAGAGAAAGTATAGTTTGGTATCTCTTTTTACTCTTCACCTATGGCAGACACGAAGTGACTGTTGCCAGCCGTTATGGAAGTTTCGGTTGCATTCGGGTGTAAAGCAAAAATCATGAAATTCAATCTCACCACAGTTTGTGGAGATTTGTAGCTGGTGAGTTTTGTTAGCTTGATATTCCGAGCTGCGATATCACAGCTTGCAAAATCAACCGCAGTTGTTTGCTTGTTGATTTTTGTGTACGAAAATCAAGCGTGATCTTGGGCGTTGGTGAGATTTGATTTTTTGATATTTTCCCAACACTGACTAGGACAGTGCCCAGTTACTAGGCCAGTGTAAATACTAAGAGCTTTTATTAAGCTCTAATAGTGTATGTTACCTTTCGAGCTATACATCTTTTCGACTGGTTGCAGTTTGTGACAGTCGTCCAATTGGCCATCACCCTTTGCTCTTCCCAGCATTTGAGTTCCATTTTTACCGTACAGTATGATATTCCACAGCATGGTTCTTGGCCAAAAAACTTTGAGTTGGAACCTAACTTTGCTAGGTCGTCTGCCCTTTCATTCCCTTCAATGCCACAGTGTCCTGATACCCGATATAAGTTTACTGAGTACCGTTGGCACAGTTGCCGAAGCGAGATAATACATTCCCAGACTATCTTTGATGTACATTTGTAATCACTAAGTGCTTTCAGCGCTGCTTGATTATCAGCAAAATACAAATATTTGCACATCTGTATTCCCTCCTCAGACAAACACGTACCCATTCAAGCATGGCTACAATTTCCGTTGGAATTTTTCAGTTTGGAAAATGTCCCATCGCAACTGAAATATTTGTCCCGGGGCCAAAGATTCCTGCACCTGTTCGCATTCAAACTTTTGAACCATCTGTGAAAAATATGGTTGAGCCTTGACGAACGTTAGGACCACCAGTTTCCCAATCCAAACGGGCCGTTTAACATACGTTGAAATGAATTTCATAGTTTTCCTCTGGTTTCATCCAGTCTCCATTCATACTCATCACTGGTCCTCTTTGGAAGTATTGTAAGATGCTTAGATGACCAACAAGATCACCTGGCATGCCTTTTTTTAGATCTTTTGAGCCTTAGAGCACTTCTTTCCGCCTTTACTTGCACATGTTCATGCTTTTGATGAGGTGCTATTGCAGTGCATGCTAGACGTTGAAGTTTTGCTAGTTTCCTCTGTACAGTAGCCTCTTTAGATTTTGGTCACAACACTAACGAAGCATACGCTACTTTCGGATGGATTATTGATGAGTAAATCCACATTGTGAGTTTT